GTCCTTGTCCATCCATAGCTCAAGTTACTGAACTGAGACATGAACCGGTGTTAGCTGGATATGATAAGTTAAACAAATATCTTAAGTCTTAGAATAAAGATTTAATTCCTGAACAGGGTTCCCTGAGGATTGAAATTTTAGCTATGCTTTGTTGAGTATTTCCATTTCTAAAGCAGTGTCACTGTGACCTTTGCTTCTATGGGTCTAACAGCTACAGAAAAGAGAACTGTAATTTGTTACTTAGTGGAAGAACATTTAGGCTTTGTAACTAGTACCACCTGAATTTAATACATTATTTGCTTCTCATTTAGAGAGTGCAAAAAGTGTAATGGTTGACTGCTGTTATCTTCCAGTTTCCTTGTTCAAAGTAGGTTAAAAAAAAAAAAGCCTAATTCTGTATTATCTGCTAACATGAACTGAGAAGGTGTCTCCAAAGATCTTGGGGGTATACAAATTCTGAGACAGTACAAATACATTAATTTACTGGTTGGTTTAAGCCCTATAAAGTCAAAGACTTGCAGACTTCAGTGTAATTCATTAAAATAAAGATCTAGCTCTATAACACCAGAAGCTGACACTCAATGCCAAGGCTAGTGGCACAACTACTGGCTGTCTCCAGAAAAAAAGCAAACAACTAGAATTGACAGAAACTTAAATACTATGGTTCCCTATTTGGGTATGGGACAATTCTCTGGAAACATGCATACAGATTTCTGTATCTAGCCTATTAAAAGTTGTAAACAATTACAAATTTTTCTGCTGATGCAAAGAAATCATCAGCATAAAAATTGGACAAGTTTAGCATGCAGAAGTTAATAGAAACATATGGATCTACTGTAATCAAGAATGTAAAGGAACAAAGAAGCAGTTTCAGATAACTCTGCCTGAGTAACGCCCAAGTATCATTTACTGTGAATGGCAATGTCACCTCTTCTCCAAAGTCAAATTAGTCTAATCATTTAAAAAACAAAGTGGGAGAATACATACAGAAATCAGATACATGCAGTAGGTCAATAGCATGTGACATTTATTGCTCATTATTCTCAGTAGATTTTTATGATTCCAGATAAATTGGAACTTGATTGTAGGGTACCACAGTCACAGCATAACTGTGCAACATGCTGTGTTGTCATTTTGTTTTAGTGTATTTAGTATATTAGTACATTGAACAATAGCTGAAACCTGATTTGCTGATTTCACATCAAACCGCAAGAAACCACAGCTGAAAGAGGAGCAGTTATGAGCTAATTAAATTGTATGTCTCTGTCAGAAACTAGAATATGAGCATATATATAAGGCTGGAGTTCTATGAGGTCATATCACTTCCTAACCCAGATATTGAAATTACAACCATAATCCCAGAATTCAAACTGTGCACCTTACCATTCAGCACCACTGAACTCCAACATCAACACAGCTGGAATGGCAAATTACAGTTGTGACATAACTTCAGAAACTGATAGGCTCCTGCTAGTGGCCATACTCCAAGCGAAAGTAAAGCCAAGCTGAACCAGTTCTCCATTCTCACTGTATCCAAGAGGAGCAGTAAGCTCCAAACTTCACTTGAAAGCAGTGTTATCACCACTCATGAATGTCTGGTAATCAGATGAGCCAGCCCTTCCCCCATGTCAGTAGATATGCAAACTTACAATTTGATTTAAACCTTTGCTGGAGCAGAGCTTATTGTAAGGCAAGTTCTGACAGGCACCTCCTGGAGCATGAGGAGGCAGGGACTACTGATTACTACTCAGATGAAATCTGCTCAGGTTGTACAAACATTCTGCAACTCACCCCACCATAATCTAAGCTATTTGATTGCAGGGATCAGCAGAGCAATTTTAAGACACAAGATATCCTAGGCACAGAACAAATGGCTCTGAAGGTTCAACAATTGCTTGTCCCGCTTAAGAAACTTACTGAGTCCAGGGTCTAACTGCAGTGTCACTGAGTCAAAAACTAGAGCTGAGCATTTTGGATCACAGAATCATTAAGGTTGGAAAAGACCTCTAAGATTCCCATGTCCAACCATCATCCCACCTTCATCATTCCTGCTGACCACGTCCCTCAGTGCCACATCTCCATGGTTCTGGAGCACCTCCAGGGACAGTGACCCCACCACCTTCCTGGGCAGCCTGTGCCACTGCATTATCACTCTTTCTGAGAAGAATTTTTTCCTAATATCCAATCTGAGTGTCCCTGGCACAACTTAAAGTTGTCATCTCCTGTCCTTAACTGGGGGACTTCATGCAGGTAACAGCTGGAGTGAACCCTGTGTCAGAGGCAGAGAGGTTGGTATCTAGATGTTTGCTTGTTAGAAGCCAAAGAAAAATGTAGATTGGGTCTTTAGGAATTTGAAGCTCTCTTTAGCTCCTCTTGGCACAGCAGTCATCAGCAGGATTGGGTTCTCCAGCTCTGGCCACTGCAGAGGTTTGGTTGTTGATAGTGGTTTATCAGTAGGGGTCCTGCATGGAGCCAGCAGTTGGACAGAGTAATCCCTACAGGTCCTACCCAACTCGGGATATTCTATGATTTTCTGTCTTATGCAGCACTAGCAGAAGTCAGAGCAGATCAGCCTTACCAACAGTGAGTTCTGTGCTATGTACAAATTCTTACGGATGTCATTTAACAATGGAATGAGAGTCTCCTTTCTGCAGTGAAAGGCATCAAAGTTATATTTTAGGTTAATGCTGCAGGATTCCCTTTCTTTTTCCTTTGAGCATCCTTTAAGGCTCACTAGTGTGTGTTTGTAGCTTTTTTCCTCAGCTGCTTCTTTGGCACTCAGCACCCTGAATGAGTTTGCAGAGGCTCTTTTGAGATTCCCCAGTTCTTCAGGGCCACCCTCATTTGTGCTACTTAAACCTTGATCCAGAAATCCAGGAGGGAAGGCATGAAGGAGCTCAGTGAGGCTGTTCACACTCACTTTTGATCTGTTGGATCAAAATTATGATGCAGGAAAGGTTTTGTGCAAGAAGTTGAGTGGCAAGGACTTATAGTTGGCAAAATAAACAAACAAGAAAAAAACAGCATGGTTTCTTCTCTTTTGTTTGGATCTCACAATGACACTTACTCACGTGAGGAGACGAAATTGGGATCAGATGACCCCTTCCTATTTTAAGGCTGCCAAGGTTTATCAAAGAACTAGAGAGTAGCACACAAAAATAAAAGGACGGAATTCTTCAAATAAAATAGAGCTAAACTGTGGACTTCCTTGCTATTGTATGTTATAGCAGATAGAAATTTGTATTGAATAGGTTCAGAGATGAGAAACCTACTCTGGGTTGATGAAATCATCAATAGGGTAACATTTGCATGTACAACTTCAGACACAGACATTGTGAAAGCAGAAAATGAAAAGATGCCAGGTCCCCAAGCTTAGATGATTTTGGGTTGAACAATTTTGATAGCTGCAATGTAATAGATTACTTCTAAACTATCAAATCACAGTGAGAGAGGAATGTATCTTTTGGATGTATTTACTCAAACAACTACCAGGAGGGAAGCTCTATTCCCCACACTCTAGGACCTTATGCCATGTGGCATTTACTGCAGTCTTATCTCAACTAATATGAATATACAGTTAACAGTCGTAAAGTACAGCAGTAGCTCATAAAACACAGAGCACAGTCACAAAAGTCATTATCAAACACTATTCTACAATTCTATTTAGTAAATTCACCCATTATTTATTTCATCAAAATAGACATTTTTATCTTGGTTTTGCTAAGTCATACAGAGATGCAACAGCAAATATGGAAAGGGAAAAACTATGCACGGAAATCAAAGCCTCCACATGACTTACTCTTTGTATCATCCTATTGCCTGCTATTAGTGTATACTGTTGATGTCACTTCTGTCCTCTCAAACTGTTTTGAGCACTGATAAAATTTATAGATATTGCTTCAGTATGCTGAAGCCTCTCTTGCTTCCCTAATTGCCAGGATCTGTTTTACGCTTGTGCAAAGGCAACAAGATGAACTGCTGCTTCAGTATGAATAATTTTGCAAAGAGTGGTGGCAGTTCACGTCTGGGCTGGGGAGAAGGAGATAACTATATGATGCAGAACCTAGCTCAACTGCATCTGCATATAAATAGACTTAATCAGAAATGGAAATTGCAATCAGAAGAAATTGTAAAAGCCTATGATAAGTGAGCAGATAAGAAAAGGTCAAACTCTTGTATAGCTGAATGTTTTAAATTGTTATCAGCCAGTGGCGATTCCTTTTTTATGAACCAAATGTTGAAAAGACAAATATACACCATTCTGTAATCAATGCCGTACAAGTTCTGGATATATTTCTCCTATTATTACAACTGTTTTGCTGTTAAACCCTATTTTACACTGTCAGTCTCAACAGATTCAAGAAGCATCAATGAAATGAAAACAAAATGAAACCAAAAATAGTCAGCATGAAGTAATACAGTTAATTCCACAGTTAAGTAGAAGTAATTTCTATTTCCTTTTCATTTCCAAATGCAAAGCTCTGGATTGACATATCTTAACATCCTCAAGTAAATGAAAAACTAAATGACAACTATTGTTTACCGAAACTGTATCATAACTCTGTCAAAATTGTCTATTTTTCTTCCACAGTAAAAGTGGCCTAGGACTACAGGAATAACATCGGAAAATGTTATTTAACAGTTTCAAGTGTTGGCTTCTTCCTTTTTTGAAACAAAGGGTTTTTGTCAATAGTAGCTAAGAAAAAATACATTTAAATGGAGGTATCCAGATATTACATGATTTTACATTCAAGATGAGAATAAAATAAATATGTAACAGTGTATCATTTCAAGGAGAATTTTCTTTCTTTTTTTTTTTTTTTTTTTTTTTTTTAAAGAAGCCAGGCTAAAAAGAAAAGACAACAGTACACCTTTTTGAAGTGTTTTGCTATAATAAATTCTTAGGATTTAAATAAAAAATGTTTACATAATACTTCTTTCACATTTGACTAATGCTTCAGAACAAACTAGCGAGTGAAGAGAGCCATCTAGTGTCATACCTTGGAATTTTAAAAAGAGTTTTCACAGGATGCATGTCAAATAAAGGAGGGTCTCCATCTCCGAGTTCAATAGCTGTTATTCCCAAAGACCATACGTCACATCGAGCATCATATGAGTAGTCATATTGCTGTTCACAAGCAATGACCTATCAGAAAACAAAACAAAACAATGCATTAACATTATGCACAATTCAGGCGATCCTAGTGTGACACAAAAGTATTTTTTTGAGTCATGCCTAAAATCCCGATTAGCTTTCAAATTCATATCCTTGGGTATATAACTCATAACTCAGTCGGTAAATATCCCACAAAATTTATCAGTAAATGACAACTTCTCTTTATTGTTGTTTTTCAAAATATTATTATTTTTAAAAAAATCTGTTGTGGTTTTTTTTTGTTTGTTTGTTTTTTAAATTAAGCTCCATGGAATGCTTCATATATTTATACAAAGAACATTGCTTTATTAAGTTCTGTTCTTGAACACACTTCCTACAACAACCATCACGAAGGAAGGCACAGAATCCATTTGATGTTATTCTTATCAACTTCTATGACTACTCATGAGGAAAGACAGATTTGCACAGTTACTTTTTAGATAAGAATGTAAGATAAGAATATATAGATAAAAATATTCCCATATTTATTTCTGCCTTTTTAAATAAATATATATTTTTTAATTTTAGTTAATCTCTACTAAGTTCAAGTAATAATAATTAAAAAAAAAACAAAACCTTAGCATGCCATGTACCCTAAGTTGAAGTTAAGAGAAATCTTACTTTGGACATCAGCAGAGTTTTGAATCATAAATCCGACATACACTTCCAGTTACCTCATTGTTTGCATTCTAATCAAAAGCTAACTATTAGACACAAGCTGGAAACGTGACATTCATTAGACATGTGATTCAGAGTACTGTTTAAATTTAGATTTATCTTTGCAACAGTGAAAATGTCAGTTCACTGGCTTTTTATTCTGGCTCAAGTTTGTATTCTTAAATCTCAACAATTACACCAACTGCAGATCCCTGCATACTCCATTATCTACTTCTGTGCTTTTTCTCCAAGTTCTAATTGTTGTTACTAATTTGTACTTAACCAGAAACTTCTGATAGCATTTCCCAGGGTTGCTGTTCCTGTAGGAGATTATTTATGTATTTCTTACTTCCAAGTAATACTATCAGTTTTACTTACAAGCTTCATGTTAAGGCTTCAGTTTAGGGCACTGCTTTGCAGAAGTGCCAACCTGCAAGTCAGTATCCTGGGTTGCCGCTGGCAGGCAGCCTGATGTAAGGAAACCTTTCCTGTAGAAGATCCTGATTTCAGTTCAACCTCTCAAATACATCTTTTTTCTCCAGAATCTCACCTCACAGACACGAACCTTGTTCTATTCAACAGGCGCATATGATCTAACTCTAACTCTGGAATTCATAACCCCATCATGTACTTTATCAGAAAATAGAGGTGTTATACATATGATCTAGAATACTGCAGAAAGGTATGTGATTTAAGAAGGCAGTCACTAGTTAATTCCTTTTTTTTTTTTTTTTTCCTCCCAACAGAACATCTGGAATGAAAACTCTAACATATTTCCTGGTTCTTTAAAGAATTCATTATAACCTGCTCTCATTCTAGAGATTCCTCATCTCTTGAAAAAGATGCAGTAGACAGATTCTATGCAACTCATACACCTTTAAATCATCACTCTTATTTCAGAAGCCTACAGGATAATTACATTTAATTATACCGAATCTTAAAGAGAAGGAAAGAATTGAAGTTTCTTGTAAAGGCATGTAAGTCAGTATGAAGAATCATCACCAGATGATTTGTTCTAAGGCCATTCTTGGCATCAGCTGGTATTTGCCCCAGTGCAGTTTTCCTCAGAAGTTGTTTTTCCTTATTATGTTTGGATTTTTTAGATAGTTTCCAAAATATCTGTGTACTCATGCACGTTCTTTTTCAATTAAAAACAAACAAACATGCAAGTCATCTTCCAAGGCCATGACTCAGAGGAAGCTGGAAGTGGCTTATCTGTAGTAGACTAATACAACACGCTGTGGTCTTCTTCCTTCTTTATATAAGAAAAATATTTATCTGCTTGGTTGAAAGGCTGCTTAAAGCCCACCTCCTAACAGTGACTATTCCAAAAGTTGCCAGGTTCTCACCGTTGTGCTGAGTCTTTTGCAAATATTTGGCTATTCGTTCTCCAACTTTATGAAGCAGAGCAATATATTTTCACTTTCAAGGGAAGAAGCATCTGCTCAAGGTCACCCTGCATCAGCAGCAAAAGCAAAAGAACAGCTGAGCTTTCCCGCGTTTAAGACACCATCACTTGTTACTCTATGTAAGTACATCTAAATAGCTTCTAACTACAGACCAATGGCAAAACTTGCTGGTGAAGGAATGGTATACCAGCACTATTGGTTAAAAACAAACAAAAAAAAAACAAACTTTGAGCTTCTCTCAGCTTTACAATGCGTTACCTACCAAGCAAAGAGAGAGGAATGAACAAAGCATCTCTAGATGCACTATATTCCACCACTAACAGCTACAAATTTGGGAAATACAGCATATGGAACTACAATACTTGCACTCTTACCCATGGGAATTAAATGCTGTCAGTTTGTCCTCCATTCCTACATCAGAGCCTGAAGTGATTCTTTTAGAAAAATATTCCCCTTAATCTGCATTCTTTTCGTTTCCAAAAATTCAACAACAGACCTTATTACCAAGTATATTTTAGTAGTGAGATCAGCTTTAGAGAAAATGCACAAAATGAGCTGCTTTTCTGACACTGTGTATGTGGCATGTACATGACTGTAGTGACCGCTTTGGTTCAGAACAAGCTTTAAATTTCAGTGGAACTTATTAGAATCTTACCATCTTATGCACCACTAATACAAGCACCTGTAAGTAGCACTAATTTTAATTTTCAAAGCAAGAATCTGACTACAGCTTTTTCCTTGATGATCAGTATTTATAGACAATTACCTTTATAATTTGGCTAGCAGACAACTCTGCCTCAAAATTTAAAGATATAACTCTCTCAGCCGTAGTTTACAAGCTAAGTCCTTGGGAGTGCCCCAGTTCTGTCTTCCACTGAAAACCACAGGAACTCCCTGCAGAGCAAAAATCTCTGAAAGCTAGCTAAAAAAAATTCCCACTGATTCATCTTTTATTATGTTCCTGTCCCTACAGAGAAGTCAGAGATACTTATTTTTGGGAATATCTCCTCTTTTCAGTCAGAATTATGGAGCTAAAACAGTCTCCCAGCTTTACTGATTCCTGCTCTGCACAGTGGGACCTGAAGGCAGAGAGACCAGAAGAAATTATCTGAAACTGAAGAACCTGATACTTCTTTCTCAACCTTATGTAATGTCATCATCACATCTGCGCCTGTTTTGTATCCAGTAAAATCCCCCTATCCTGGTAAAAGTCAAAGAGAAAAGGCAGATTGCATCCCCTGATGTTTTGGGAAGATGTAGTTAATCTTGAGATTTGGCAGTGAATGTCACAGGAACAAGCGTCAAGTACTTCAGTTCAGCATAGGCTGTTTACGCACATGCAGTAGCCCAGGTTGCTAAGGAGACAGACGTTTTGTACCTTCTGTACTAGTAATTTCATCACAGTTTCCCACCCAGTTATACTGCATTAGGGTGAAAAACACCTTATCGTCACACAGAAGAACAGGCAACATGACGGTATTCGTCAACGCTATTTGTGTAGAGGGTCACAGTGGGACAGGGTGAGGTGGGGGCAATTCACTGGTCTGGCAAAAACAGCACATAAATTGGTCACACTAACTGAAGGGCATTTAGAGAAGCCAGGGATTAGGCATTCTGTGCAATTTATAACTTTTACAGAAACATAACATTTCACAAAAGAACACAAGATGATTCACTCCCTGACAAAAAGATTTTGCACTCAAGGACATAATTCTACTCACTTTGAAATCAATGCAAAGATTTCTCTGAACTCCAGCAAGCATGTAAGTAGATTGCAGGTGGATATAAAAAAAGGAAAACATAATACAGAGCACTATTATTTGTACACTGGATGTACTGCTTATAATCAGAAAGTAAGATCTACGTATGTTTAGCAAAAGGAAAATACATCAAACCTCTCAAAGCTTACCTGGAATTATTAGAAGTGAACTTACTTCCATTTTGTCTCCATACAGACAACACATGCTTGAAGCAGCTGCAAGCATGCACACACAGTATAACTGACTGATAGTAACAGTACAGATCTGCTACCTGGAGACAATCACTACACAATTAGCACTGGTGACGACCCACCAGCAGAAAGGAGTCTGTAGTTGGAATATTGAAGCTCCTGAAGAAAGGCAGTGCTGTACTCAGCTGCCGTAGCTAACTAAGCAGCTTATGAGGTGTTTGAGCACAATGCTGAAAGCAGAGCACAGCATATGAAAAATAAATGTGGAACAAAATTCTTACCCTTGATGCAAGGAGAACAAAACTGCTAACTATGCAAATGGAAATAAATCAACTGAATTTCTGTGCTCCATCTGACACTATTTAATCCAATTTAATTCATATAGGTGGTAAATTTAAAATTAAATATTGATAGAAATCTTATGCATCAAGATAAAGAAATCAACACAAAAAAACACTGAGGATACTGAATAATCCAGAGCAAAGTTAATGCATATATATTTAGGGTATATATAACATTTATTGTACACGTGCACATTCACACAAATAAAATAAGCAAATTCATGTCTGAAATTGGTTATGTATTCCCCCACCTTTTTATTTTAATTTCTGTTCCTTATTTGTGATTATCATTCAAATATTTCTGCGATGCATCAGAAAATGATTATATTGTTAAAAATGTTCCCAAAATAAGAATTAATATTTTTAATCATTTGCATTACTAATCATTTCAATTAACATTGATTCACTGAAATTAATTTTATATCAAGCAGCCATTCGTAATTTAACAGCTAGGGATTAAAAAACAAAGTGTTTTTATTTTTACCTCATCCCAGTGAAATATACCTGAGACCATTAGACTGCCCTAACAGAAGACTACATTCGCAGGGAAAAGGAGTACCTCTTATTAGTCCTACAGACGCAGCATAGAAAAAAGACAAGCTTTTGAGCATGTTTTGCTTTATATCATGGATT